GCAAAATTATTTATGATGTCTTCAGTCTGTGTTTTAACCATAGATGTATGGTTTTAACTATATCTCCAGTTGTGTCTATCCGAGAAAGCCTTCACAACACTGCACATAGCTACGCTACTGTTTCGTCATGTGTACCCACCTGTGAACTAAATTGTGTGCCAAATATTTAAATAACGCTGTCTTTGCTTACCTCGTCCCAGGCAAATTCAAAGCGGGTCAGAGGAGTGTTCGGTGTTTTGTCTGTTTGTTTTTATATAGCTTCTGTGCGTCTTTGTGTATGTATATATATATGTGTGTGCGTGCATGGGTGGTGTGCGTTCGTGTGTCGTCTGACGCTCGCCGTTTTTTTATTTTTTGTTATGTCTCGTGGCGTCGTCTGGCTGTGTCATGTCGTCGCGTCGTGCTGTGTCGTCGTGTGGTCTGGTTATGTCGTGTCGTGTCGTGTCGTGTTGTCGCGTCGTCTGGTTAGGCTATGTTTTGTCGTATCCTCTGGCTCTGTCGTGTCGTCGCGTCGTGTTGTGGCGTCGCATGGTCTGGCTATGTCGTGTCGTCGCATGGTCTGGCTTTGTGGTGTCGTCGCGTTGTCTGGTTATGTTGTGTTGTGTCGTCGCGTGGTCTGATTATGTTGTGTCGTCGCGTGGTCTGATTATGTTGTGTCGTCGCGTCGTGTTGTGTCGTCGCGTCGTGTTGTGTCGTCGCGTCGTGTTCTGTCGTCGCGTGGTCTGATAATGTTTTGTCGTCGCGTCGTATGGTTAGGCTATGTTGTGTCGTGTGGTCGTATCGTCGTGTCGTGATGTGTAGTCTCGTCATGGTGTGTCATCACGTCTTTTTTTATGTCGTGTCGTCTAGTCGTCAGCTTTTGTCGTGTCGTCGCCCATGTCGCGCGCGTGCTGCAGTCGGACGGGTTGTTGTATCCCCTACCTCTTGAACTGTACGCCGACGTTTTAATTTTTGAATTTAGGCCTATCGGAATCTAGGTCAACGGCTTCCTGTCTGTCTGTCCGTCCGTCCGTTTGTGCGTGTCTGTCCGTCCGCCCGTCCGTCCGTCTGTCTGTCCCTCATATACACCCTTTATCCAATCTGTATGTCATTATCTGTCCATGT